CTACCTTTTATTTTCTTTTTTNTTTTTTTTTTTTTGTCTTTTGTTAACATTGCGTCGTTCTGATAAAAGAATGATGAGAGTATACTTTTTTCTCGTCCTTCCATTTCATCAATATTTCATCGAAATTTTTAATTAAAAAAAAAAATATCAAATTTGGAATTACGATTATGATGAAAGAGAATTTATCAAAACTTTAAAAGAGAAAAGGTAATTTTTTGCATAAATTATACTTTTTCTTTTTTTTTGTTTAATGATATTATTGATGACAATTGTGACATAAAGGAGGAAAAAGAAAGGAAGAGAGAAAGGGAAAGAGAAAAAAAGGATTGAAGAGAGGCGGAAGGTCAAATTTTAATGCATTTCGTAATAAAATGACCCGAAATGGTGAGAAGTGAGAAGGAAATCGAAATGGAAATGAAAAAGGGACGAAATTCCGAAACAAAAACAAAAAAAAAGAAAAAAAATTGGCATAATGACGAATTCTTAATTCAAGTAAGAATTCTAATCATTTTAGAAAATCTTGAAACAGAAATGAATAGAAATCAAAAACTTTAATTAAATTGAAATGCTACAAGGTGAAAAAGAAAAAGGTAAAAGAAAATGAAACAAAAATTAGTAGTGAAAATGTTTGTTTTTTTTTTTTCTTAAGTAAAATTTTATATTGTCAACCTTGATCATTTTATCGACCGATCATTTTGCGTGGGAAAATGGTAATGCTTTGGAGTATATTTACTCTATCAATAACTTGACCTTCTATTTTTATATCTATCATCTCAACAATTCTTCTGGTCATATTTTTCTGAAGACACAAAAAGGATAGCTGTTGATGAAAATGAATACTACTGCATAATATTAATTGGGCAGTTTAAATGGTTGTAAAATAAAAAAAAAAAAAAAGAAAAGGAATAGCTATTGAATCGTTTTAGCTAAACGATTTAAATGGACTGGAAATAATGCAAAATTTTTTTGATTAAATGATATTATCAATATAAAATGGTATTTCTCAAGGTTAACAATAGTTAAGGTTAGTCTTTTTAATAATAATGTTAAATATGACTAAGCTTGCTGCAAAGCCTATGAATCAAGAAATTAACATTTTCTTGTATAACTTGCGGAGATCTTCATTTCTCCTTAATGCTAGGACCTTTTGTTTTTTTTGTTATTATAAATGGATGAATCAAAAACAACCAAATCTAATATTTTGTAAATGAAATCAATTTTTTATTTACATTTGATATATTAAGTGTTTATGTTTAAATGCATGATCCGAAACACAGCTATTCAAAAATTCACTCAATCAAAATTTGATGACAATGAACAATGCTACACATCTCTGTCGATGTTTTCGCTTGTCAAGGACGTAATATTTTCACACAGTATCCTAAGCCGATAAAAATTTTCATACCGTCCCGTGTATTCTATTCAACGAACCGCATTTAAAAACCGGTCCGAGATTTCGATATTTTTGGGGAAGTGGGGGTGAGTGCGCAGGAATTGGAGTATTTGAGCTGATGGGGTTAGAGGAAGAAGCGCGGGGCGAGAAGAATGGATCTTCTTGTATGTGTTATATGTGTGAAAATGATATTGTCCTATATGTGTCATTTATATGGAAATGATTTAGGATGGAGTTTCATGAAATTCTCATGTGTTGCGGAATATTTTTCAATAAATTTCCTAACAAACCAGCAGATTAGGTAATGCGGTGACAGCTGAGTTAATCTAGGTTCTGTGGGAGGTTAAGAGAAAAGTTACTAGCGTCACCTCCACACTTTCGACTTGCAGATCCCCAATTGCTTCGTACGAGTTTATGAATGGCCTGGGCTGACTTTCATTTTCTATTGCCTGATTTTGCGAATTACTGTACTACATTAGCTTTGACTGGCAAGTCTAACAGATTGATGGTAGGAAATTGATCAAAGAGCAAGTCTTGGTGTTGTAGAAGTTTCGTTAGCCCCATCATAATTGCGAAATATATTTGCAGGTGGATGCGTTAGTTTTAGGTTTTAAACCGACAAATCAATCATTTTCAATTTGGATTACTCTTGTCCTTAACCATTATTAATTTCTTCCAGTACCCATCTAGAACTTCTCTGTAAATAGATTGCTCTATCCTTGGTAAATGTTTCCATTCTAGTATTGTTTAACTTTTGTCTTAAATAAGCTCTGTCCATGTCATTTGTTTCAGTCTTTCAAAATCGCATAAAATGTCGTTTCTCTTCTATGCATCATTTGATTGCATAACGGAAGAAATTTTTTTTTTACCTGCATAACATTATCCTACATAACACGAGAAATTTCTATCAAGTTTTCGAATAGTAGTGTACCTTTATAAGTGTATGGTTCAGTGGTTTTGAAGTAATGCGGTAACAGCTGAATTAATCTAGATTCTGTGGGAGGTTAAGAGAAAAGTTACTAGCGTCATCTCCACACTTTCAACTTGCAGATCCCCAATTGCTTCGTACGAGTTTATGAATGGCCTGGGCTGACTTTCATTTTCTATTGCCTAATTTTGCGAATTACTGTACTACATTAGCTTTGACTGGCAAGTCTAACAGATTGATGGTAGGAAATTGATCAAAGAGCAAGTCTTGGTGTTGTAGAAGTTTCGTTAGCCCCATCATAATTGCGAAATATATTTGCAGGTGGCGTTATATTACTCGTTTGGATACTTGTTTTTTTTCTTTTTTTTTTTTTTTTTTCAGGTTTTACCCTGCTTCACTGTCGCTTCAGAGACCTAACGAGACAACTGTGATGAATCGTGGTAGTGGTCGCGATAAATTGTAAGTGTTGCGTAATACAAAATCTAATATAGCAATCTTGAAGATGTGGTTTGGGAAAAAGATATTTAATATTACTTGCAGTGGTGGTGGTGGTAGTCGTAGCTTTGGTAGCCGAGGTGGTGGAAGCAGTGGTAACCGAGGAGGAATGGGTGGTCGCGGGGGTCCACGGAGCTTTGGTGGCCGTGGCAGTGGAATAAGTGGTGGTGGCCGTTTTGGTGGTAGCTTCGGTGACAGGAAATATGATTTCGGTAACAAGTTCTTAAACAGTTTCATTTTTCATCATATGTTTGCATTGTCATGTGCTTTCTCAGATTTATGTCCACAAGTTAGACTATATAACTTTTCTAGTTGTAATGGATGTTAAGATGTTAAATTTTAGGAAGTCGTGGTGCTTCCGGCGGTAACAGTCTTCGCCCAATTGATTGGAGTCGTGAAAATCTTCGACCATTCGAAAAGAATTTTTACCATGAACATTCTGCTGTTACACGTAGGGAACAGGTTTCTTTTTTCTCGTGTACTACAAATAATTTATGCTAGGAAGTAGATCAATCAGGAATTTGTAAAACAAAATATTCCCATGTTGGTATTAATGCGCTTAACTAGATAAAAGTAATCAGTGTCGCTTCACAGATCTAACGAAATAACTATAATGGGTCATGGTTTAGCAGTCGTAGATACAATTTGGAAGTTTTCTACGGAATATTCGTCTGAAGTCCATGATTTTTTTTTCAGGTTGAAATAGACAAGTGGTTTACAGATAATCAGGTTACTGTTGAAGGGAACGATCTTCCTCGTCCAGTTTTTGATTTTAAAGAAGCAGGTTTTCCGCAAGTTCTCACAGATATGCTTTTTGCAAATTTTCAAAAACCAACAGTTATTCAATCAATATCATGGCCAATTGCATTGAGTGGTAGAGATATGGTTTCAATAGCAAAGACCGGTTCTGGAAAAACTTTCGCGGTTCGTTATATCTTTATAGTTCATACAGAACAGATCTGTCTATATATTTTTATAATCTATGCAGGTTAGAACATTTGATTAAATGATTTTTCATGCGTAACTTATGAATATTTATCTCGCGGTCTTTCTGTCAACGTATATATATATATATATATATATATATATATATATATATATATATATATATATATATATATATATAGT